GCCCCCCCCCCCCTTAGAACTCGCGAACGGTATGTCGTATGACCACTAAATTTTTAAAGAATGGTGTACTAGTGAAAATTTATCATATCTACATTTTTTATGACGTTATGATGTAATATGACGTCATTATGACGTCATTAATGTGATTTTATTGGCCAGAACCGTCTAAATAGGTTTTTCCCTGAAAACTCAATGGTATTCAACATAACTGTACCAAAAGTGTTTATGACAGAATATTATGGTGTAATAAGTCTTATGTTGCCCATAGCAACACCGGTGACGTCATAACATGACGTCATGCATATTTAAGATATCCGCCATCTTGGATCATCAATCTTGAATTTTCAAAAATAGTTTTTTTTTATGATAAAGCCTAAAATTTATCGTGGACATACTAAAGGCCTTCATTTAAACCTTTTTTGGAAAAAGAAATGGAAGTATTGATGAAATTTTAATGAAAATAACCTGTTCTAATGATATGGTCCGCCATCTTGGATTTTGGCCGATGACGTCATCAAATTAGCATAAATTATGCATATTTAATGATAAAATTTACATCAAATTATATGGGGTGTTATTAATATTAGAAACCATGAGTAACTTGACATAAAACCCATAAAATTCTATTGTTGAAACAAAAAGTACTAAATTTAGCAAAAAATGCCTTTCAGAAACCCGTTGCCATGGCAACACAAAAAATTATTATCTTAATCCAATGATAGAGAAGTGTTGCCAACAATATTCTAGGAAAAGTCACGAAGTTTGGCCGTTCTACGGCTAGCCGTTCAGACGCTAGGTGACATCAAAGTTGCCGCGGGCACTTTTAGCCCCCCCCCCGGTCTAGGTAGGGTTAAAATCAGATATTCATAAAATGTCATCATACACATATAAGGGATTTTAAATAATAAATTCAACGTAAGAAAATATTAAACGTATCCAAAGACGATTTTTCATTTTATTTTATTTTTTTTACAAAATTTAGCCAGGGACATTATTGTGTTAACTTCAAATTATTGTGTTCACTTCAAATGTTGTCATGTGTACACGTGTAAAATCCTTCAATTTTCTTTTGTATTACACAGTTGGGTTTTTATGTTTTGTTTCAATGCATCATATTTTTTTACAATTTGTGGGGTTTGCTAAACATGTATTTTAGGTTGATTATTGTCTTCGTCAGAAGGACTATGAAATTGTCTCGCCGCATTGTGGGTGACTGCGGATTTAGCAGAATAACTCTTGAAGGCATTATTCGACGTCCAGAATTTTTGGCAGGTAGATTACCGTTGTAGAGGCCAATGTCAAGTGCAATTTTGGGCTTCGTGAGAGGTCCGTAGGTCACTGCAGTGGACTTTTTGTGTTTGTGGCTTGTTAGCAATATTACTCGAGTATATTTAAACAGATGTTCATGATTTTTGGTAGGCAGCCTGCCATTGTAGAGGCCAAGGTCAAGTTCCAAAACGGGCCTCGTGGGGGGTTCCTATGTTGCTGCAGTGGACCTTTTGTGTTAGATATATAATGAACCACCCCCACCAACCTCTGCATTGATTCACATGGGGGACAGCTGTCAGCTATCAATTGCTTACAATTTAGGGGCTGTCCTATAAATACTGGGGCGGGGGAGGAAAAAGGTGGACATGCGTCAGGCAGGTCATTCCTTAAATTGTAAGGCCAGACCAAGTAATTTTAATGGATGACGTTCACTGGAGACCTTGAATTTATTGCAAAAGCGCGATAAAATACATGAAGGCTAAAACAAACTGATTTACATGCACAGATTTGGAACATACTAACTGCGGACATACAAAGGTTAGGATGCAAACTGAATAAAAGAACATAGTGTAACAACAAAGGAAAACAGCAATAAATCTCCCCCTGTTCTGATTCTTTCCTTTCATCACATCTTCTCATTACATTTTGCGACACTGTCGTAGAATAAAAAAAAATGATTCTTTTGTACTCTAGACCAAATTGATTTCTAGTATTAAAAACGTTCCTTTATCTAGAACAATTTCCCTCTGACGAAGGCATGAGATCTCCGACCTCTAGTTTTTCATATCAAAATAGGTAGATCATGGTGGTAGATGGCATGTTTGAATCTTTGAGCCATGTTTTGCTTTTCAAACTTGGGAAAATTTTTCCATGTTTTGGTGTCATGGCTGTCATTTATCAATTCAGATTCTTTGAGCCATGTTTTGTTTTTTCAACTATGAATTTTCATTGTTATACGTGTCATGACTGCCAATGACAATTCAAACCCTTTCAGATATATTTTTCCCAAATTTTTACTGCCATGACTGTCAGATATTTTACAATGGTATATAAGAAGTGTTTTTCAGTATTGTAGTACTTACAATGTACATGCATTTTGTTGTGTGTTGGAAATATAATCTGTTAAAAGTACAAGAGGATATTGAAACCTGAAATCAATGTTGAGCTGGTTCTGACAAGACTTAATTTATAGAC